GTATATCTATTTATCACCACTTAATAAACTTAATTTAAATCAAAACACAACAATACACATGTGGGTTAAATGACGCTAAAGATAGAGATAAGGTTATGTTTTATTCTGTAATCTATTATAAATTGTTATGTTGGCAACATGAATTTTAACGATAAATTGCAAGAAAATTGCATGAAAAATAGAACATGTTCTAATTTTTTGTCTAGCACAGGAATTGCATGGAAATAGCCCGTGGGCATGCGCGGTTCCATGATCTGGCTCTTGCCTAGCATGAAAATAGCATAATGTAAAACTCTCTTAAGTCTTGGCGAAAACTTTGGGCTAATATTAAGGAACTTGTTGAGTGTCGACAATCACACGAAAAAGATTATTCTACCACCATTCTTCAAGATCTCCAAACGTTATCCGAAAATGTTCAATTGCAGGTCGAAGATATTGAAGAAGGATGAACTGTGACGAGGAACTTGAAAACGAATTTTTGACAGACGACGAAATAATTACATTAGCAACACATGAAGAGCCCTATGAAAATGAGGAGACTGATGATAATGATGTTGACGGAGAGGAAAAGGTCAGCCACACCGAAGCGGGGGCTGCAATGCAAACTGGGTCATCTTCAATAGACGTCTTGGTTTTTAAAAAATCGAGAGATATAGCTTTTAAAAATACACTTAGTATTAAGAAATAGAAGAAAGTTACCGATTTTTTTTAAACAAGTTTGTATACTCTGTGATCTTTATTAATACACACCGTCCTGTACGTGTTTGATATTTGTATATTTATATAGGTATGTACTTGATTTTTCTCATGAAAATGTCTGCACAACGGATTAACCATTTGGTCAACCAGCCAGGCTCTGGTCCCAAGGTGGCCGGTTAAGAGGGAGTCTACAGAGGTAACCCCAAAATTTTTATTTATTGACAATTTCTCTGTAAGTCATATATGTGGCTGTCTTATAGAGTAATTGTCACAGATATGTTAATAAATTGGACTTTGCATGTTCAAAGGTGGGCCTCAGAATGAACTTGACCAAAACTAAGTTTATGACAAATATGGTCCCCAATAACCATTTAACTAGTCAAGACAAAGTGGTAGAACTGGTAAAGAAATATACGTATTTGGGCCATAAAATGAGAATCAGCAGGAATAACCAAACATGCGAAATCCAAAGACGAATTACTTTAGCGTGGGCAGCCTTTGGACAACTGCGAGACACACTTAGGGCCAACATACCAATCAGCCTCAAAAGAAAAGTATTTGACCAATGCTTATTACCAAATATGACCTATGGGACAGAAACTCTGGCTCTAACCAAGACTACGGCTTCGAGATTGAGAGTGGCACAGGGAAGAATGGAACGGTCTAGCTGGAAGTGACGTTACGGGACAGAATAAAAAACGAAGGTCTGCGAAGAAGGATGAATATTGCTGATTTTGTGGAACTGAAATGGAACTGGGAAGGCCATGTAGCGAAAATTCATGACTCACGATAGACGAGCAAAATTACAAATTGGAGGCCAAGAGCAGAAAAATATAATAGAGGATGACCACCTACACGTTGGGCTGACTACAGCAGGCGTATCACGAAAAATTGGCAACAAAGAGCACAAAACCGTAAAGAATGGAGGAGTTTAAGGGAGGCTTATATCCAGCAGTGGACATGATAAATAAAGATGATAATGATGATGACTCTATAAGTCACCATTTAAATTTAAAATAAGTTTATTTTTGACGTTTCGATTTCCATTTCGGAAATGGTTCTGTATTATGAATATAGAGCAGATTGGGTAAAATTAAATTGGAAAAGTCTAATAAAATTAAACAAAACATAAGCACGGAGGAACTAAAGGCTGTAGGAACTTTAAAAAATGAGGTAATGTAATTTGGAAACGATTCCCAAAGTGAAAATTTAAACGTCAATAAATTTAAATTGTGGCTTATTCTCAACAAAAATAGTAATTGCATTAAGATGCCCAAATTTATAAGTGTTTCATCTAATTAAAATAACGCATTGACATTTATTACTATTGCGTAAATACAAAAAAAAACTTACTGAATTAAAAAGCTATATATTGTAAAATTGAAAAATGAAAGTATATATACCTACACTTTCAAATTTACTAATAATTGTTCACACGAAACTAACTACACACACAAACTACCACTAAACGGTCTCCAGCGAAGCAACAACAATTAATAACAGGTAAATCGATTAGTCAAATTGGTGCTCAACTATGTAGAGTGGACAACACTGTGCTATATGTCGGGGAGTATTATCTTAACTAGTATTGAATTACCTACAAAATATTTCGTAGTATGACGTTGAAATAACTATAATCGAAAATGCATAAAATATATTCCATAATAATTAGTCTCATTTTTAATCGTTTAGAAAATTAACAATGAAGTGAGGAACGTATTACTATTGTGGGCATAAACATAAGCAGGACATGAAGAAAGGGATGATATTTTATGTGGAACATTTATTGCAATATTTTCTAAATAAATGTTTAACAAAGAATGAAGTACCGGGTGTAAATGATGACTCTTTTGGAAATAATATAACTATGTTTGGATGGGTTGGAATTAATAAAAAGCGGCTATTAGATAACTATTTTTTACTAATCCGGCTTTCAATTGTTCTTACAATCATTTTCAAGCTCTAAACTTCTTCTTCTTCTTCATGTGCCTTGTCCGTTCCGAACGTTGGCAATCAACATGGCTATTCTGACTTTGTTTACGGCAGATCTGAATAGTTCAGCAGATGACAATCCGAACCATTGCCGCAAGTTTTGGAGCCACGAATTTGTCTTCTCCTCCCTGGACCCCTTCTGCTGTCTATTTTCCCTTGAACGATCAGCTGTAGTACTCTATATTTATTATGTCTCATAACGTGACCCAAGTATTTCAACTTTCTTTTCTTTATACTTATTCCTACCTCTCTCTTTACCTATCCGGCGTAGTACCTCTTCGTTGGTCACGTGCTCAGTCTAGGATATACGTAATATATGTCGGTAAGCCCACATTACGAAGGCCTCTACTTTTTTCATCAATGTTGCGGTCATTATCCACGCCTCCATTCCATATAACAAAACCGGGAATACATAACATTTCAGAAGTCGAATTTTGAGAGGTAGGGTGAGGTTTTTAGAGGTGAAAATTTGCTTCATACTAGTGAACGATGCTCTTGCCTTTTCTACTTTTATACGTATTTCCTTCGCTTGATCCCAATTTGAGTTAACTGTTGTTCCCAAGTAGATGTACGAATCCACGTGTTCAATTCTTTCATTGTCTAATATCAGTTGCTGTGGTGGTTGTTGGGTTTTGCTTACTAACATCCATTTGGTTTTTGTGATATTTAGTTTGAGTCCGTATTGTGCACTTGTTTTTTGTATCTTACTCATTAGGCAACTTAGTTCCTCCATGCTACTTGCTAGAATCACAGTGTCATCAGCATACCTTATATTATTAATTATTTCTCCATTTATCTTTATGCCTTCTGTGCTTTCTTCCAGAGCTGTCTTAAATACTTCTTATGAGTATATATTAAAGAGAATTGGAGACAAGATACAGCCATGTCGTACCCCTTTCTTGATCTCAATTTTATTGGTCAATGTAGATCCTACTTTCACTTTAGCTGTTTGAACCCAATAGAGACTCGCTATTGTTCGAATGTCTCTGTAGTCGACTCCGATCTTATGGAGAACTTCAATTATCTTTTCGTGCTTTACGTTATCGAATGCTTTTGCGTAGTCTATAAAGCATATGTACACGTCTTTGTTCATATCTCTGCAGCACTGGATGAGTACCTGTAGAATAAAAAGTGCTTCTCTTGTTCCAAGAGAATTCCGAAACCCAAACTGCGAATCTCCAATGTTATCATCGTATTTTTTGCTTATTATGTTGTAAATAACCTTGGTGTATGCCTTCGAATGGTTAATTAGACTTATCATCCGATGTTGATCACAAGACTTTGCTTTTGATTTTTTCGGTATGGCAACAAAAGTTGACTCTAGCCAGTCTTCAGGAAACTCCCCGCTGTTATAAATATTGTTAAAGAGTCTAACGAGTGAGTCTAGAAATTGACTGTTTGTTTCGCACAGTATTTTCAATACTTCCCCATATACGTTGCCTGGTCTTTTGTTATTTTTAAGACCCTTTATAGCATTCTCCACTTCTGATTTTAGAGTAGAAGGGCCAGTATCATCATTGGCATCATTGCTCAGTGTCAAGGATTTCTGCAGTCATCCAGTCTTCCTTTTTTCTCTTATCAGGTAGTAAAAACTTAGTGCTTGAAGTCCTAATCTCTTCTTTAATTTCACTCCACTTTTCCAGTGTCCTCTATGTCCCCTTATGTCCTCTACAGACCAACAATTATGCTCTCACTGCAATGATATTCCTATTACCGTCTACTAGAACATCCTCACAGAATGTCAACCAGTCCACTCGCATTGAAAACAATGTAACCAACACTTTAAATGAACTTCTGAACTGCCAAGCCGACCAAAGAGCCTAATAGACTTTTTAAAGACTACACAATTGTTTAACAAAATATAATTTAGATAATATTGTTATTCTTTACTATTGTAAACTCTGTATAATAACTCTGTAGGTACTATTGTAAACCCATGCTCCCGTGTCAATGACCTAAGATGTCGAGACACGTTAATTCGAAATAAAAAATGTTTAATCTTATTTCACTATACAGTAAATTCTTATACTGTATTTAGTAATGGCAAAAGAAATGTCAGATAAATACATCTAGGGTGGTTATAAAATTCACGGAACTAGTATATCTCTACTTTGGTATTTCGATATGTTGATAGAAATGATTGAGAAAGAACATGCTTAAACGAAGAATGAAAACATGTAACAGTGTGCTAATACAATTTCTTGATAAGTGCCATACGCAACTTATTTTAATACGATAGTTAAATATATATTAAGTACATATAGTAGTACTGCTCTCGATACCTACATATAAAAATAATTATTATTTACCTGTACATCAGCCCTTACGTCATTCGGCACTTTATTTGAATTTTCTAAATGATCAATAGTTGGTAGTCCTCCAAGAGGTTCGCCTCTACCATTGGGTAATTGTTTCGAGGTGGTGATTACGTCCTTGTTGGCGGCCACAACGGCCGTAGTAGTACTTAAGACGCTTCCTCCTCCCTGTCCTTTGTTTGCGGTGCTGTTGTTGTTTATATTTTCGGTGGCGGTCAAAGAAGTTACGTATATTGGTGAATTTTTGATAAAACCGTTCAGTTCTTCGCCCGTGGATGTCGTCTGATTTAACTGAAAAGAAAAATAAGTGGTTAAGGCAAAGTGTGACACAATGATAAAATTTTTAAACTCTTGATACGATATAATGTTTACACTGCTGAAGATATTCACTATTTTACCAGCGCTAAATAATTATAGTATACCTTTTATAGGTATGTATTAAATGAAACCCTCAATTATTGGTGGATCAATTTGAGCAAATTATAACAATTCTATTGAATGTGTAAAATATATTTATTTTCTTGGCATGAAATTAGATAATCGTTTAACTTGGAAAGAACATGTGCAATGTCTTCGACAATCTACACAAAATGGACTAAAGCTGTTAAGAATTATAGCTCACAAGTAGTGATGTGAGTTGTAAAATTACATAACTTACGTTACATAAATTACACGTAACTTACGGTAATATTACATGATACCCGTAACTTAATGTAATTTATGTAATTTTTGGAATTTACGTAATTTATGAAATTTAACGTAACTTATGATAAATTTACATAAATTACCGTAATTTATGTAATTACTGGTAAAATTACATATATTATGGCAACTTATGCGCGCGCAATTGTCGTAAGTGCGGTGCGCCGGTGCCGGCGCGCGCGAACCAGTGGGTGCTATTACGCTCGTCGCTCGTTAGTCGTTCCTTAGTCTGAGTCAGGCAGGTTATGTTTACATTTCTGTTATTGTATGTGTAATGTGTATGTATAAGTTAGTTTTCGACTGTTCTTTCTCTATTCATTCACGCAGCGTTGGTTACTTTACATTTATTTATAAGGAAGCACAGAAACTATAAGGTAAGAAATATATTATTTCTACAAACAGCAAAACACGTGCCGGTGATGTCCATAGCAACCTTAGATTGGGAAACACAGGGGCGGGCCTATCGCATATCGACTGTACGTTAAATCTAACGCGCGTCATTTTATATGTGGCTACAGTACTTAATTCTGAATTCGGTTTACCAAGTTTTATTCGATTTTTTAGATTAGTTTACTGTACAATAACTATAAGAATGATAGGAGCAACGGGGTACTTGTGCATGTAGCATGTGTAATTGAATTACACTGACATAACTTACTAAATAAAAAATTTTGATAACGTTGAGGGCAAAATAATGTAGTTGTCCGATCCAGTATTCTGCTTATTCGAATTTCATTAAATTGTTACACAGATTCAATTTTAATCTTTCTTCTATTTAAGGATGCCTAACAATTTTTTATGCCCTCGTGCCCATCAAATACTTTGAAAAATAATGTTTTTTCCCTTCTTAATGTTTAAGTCTACCTGAATATTTTTTTTAGGTCATAAAACATGGTGAAACGTAAGACAGATATCTGGCTTTATTTTGAAGTGTTACCTGCGGGTTCTTCTAATCAAAAGACCATAAATGTGAGGTGTAAATTTTGCAAGAGTGTACATGCAAAAAATGCTACAAGAATGAAATCTCATCTTCAACAATGCACTTATGTGCCGCATATGATAAAACTTAAATTCAATATTTTAACTCCAAAGTCAAAGGGGAATCACTCTAAATTTCCATTTGAAACATCCATGAAAAAGATCACATCGGCAAAATTGGATAACGATAACACTGATGCTGCTTGTACATCATCAACGGTTTCCACAGCATCAACATCTGCTTCTGATAACATTCATGTGGAAACACCTGTTTGCACAAAAATCAACAGAATACAATCATTTTGTGATCGAATGACACACGAACAAAATAACGAATTGAATATTTTGCTTGCTAGAGCTATTTACACCAGTTCAGCACCACATTCAATTACCGAGAATGAAGATTGGAAATTGTTTTTTAAAAAAATTAGACCTTCATACACCTTACCATCGAGATATATGTTATCAAATCGTCTCCTGACCGAAGAGTACGAGCGAGTTGAAGTTCAAGTTAATGATAAAATTAAGCAAGCTGACAATTTATCATTGCAATGCGATGGTTGGTCCAACTTGCGAAATGAAAGTGTAATTAATTTCATTGTTACAACACCCGAACCGTTATTTGTCAAATCAGTACTAACAAAAGCAGAGAAGCATACCGCAGAATATATAACAAAATTAATGGTTGAAGTTCTGGAGGAGTATGGACCTAAAAAATTTTTCGCTATTGTGACTGATAACGCAAAGAATATGAGGAAGGCTGTGAGACAATGTGAAGAGATGTATCCCCATCTTGTATCATACGGCTGTTTAGCGCACACATTACATTTATTGTGCAGCGATATTTTGAAATTATCTTCAATAGAGACACATTTGTCACATATTATACATATCGTTAAAACTATTAACCAGTGTCAAGTACTGAGAGCTCAATTCACAGAAATAAGAAATGAGATGAAGTGTGGAGTGTCTCTTAGCCTACCTGTAAAAACAAGATGGGGTTCACATGTAAAATGTCTTCAAGATCTGACTAAATGCAAGTCCGTCCTACAACGTCTAGCAATATCTCCAGATAAAACAATTCAAGATAGAATACGCAGCGCAAAAGCAAATTTACTTGATGAAGGATTCTGGATAAATTCTAGCGCTCTTGTTGAATTGCTTAAGCCAATTACTGAAGCAATAACACGTCTTGAAGGAGATTCTTCGTCAATTCATTTGGTTTGTGAAACTTTCGCGAAAATCGGTAGTAACATATCTACTCATTTAGAATGCGTGAAACTAACGGATTGCGAAAAAACAGAAGCGATGGATAAATTTATATCAAGGAAGGAATACGCCCTTCAACCGATCCATTTTGCCGCAGACTTACTAAACCCTCGGTCTGTTGGTGCAAATTTATCATCAGCCGAAAGGATTGAAGCGATGAAATACATTACTACTATGTCAACCACGACCACGATAGAGATTGGTGATGAAGGAGTGTCAAAGATTACTGAGGATTTAGGAAACTATTTAGCTAAAACAGACTTTTTTGGCGAAACATTTTTATGGAACATACTCGATAATGTCTCTTTGGTTACATGGTGGAAAGGATTTTGTGGACATTCATGCCTCTCCAAAGTTGCAGTCAGGATATTGACAATGCCGTGCACTTCTGCGGCAACAGAGAGAAGCTTTAGCTCCCAGAGCAGCATTCATACGAAGAGAAGAAATCGCCTAACAACTCAAAGGGCAGCAAATTTAAATTATATACAATATAATTCAAAATTGCTGAAACGTTCACGACAACATCACATACAAAGTCAATATCCTATAGAAGAGACTGTACAGAACAACGTTTCGATAGAAGGTAGAAACTTACAGAAGGAGATAGAAGTAATTGAAAACCATATTTCCGAAGAGGAAGAATTAGACGAGGTAATTTTAAATTTAGGCATTTTTTAGATATGTGATATGTGCATGTCATGTGATATATGCAGTTTGCTTCTTTTCCGATTTTCCAATGCATTCCACCGTTTTCGAATAAAAAATTATAAATCTTATGTTTTCAGACAATATCATCATGGCATTCAAATACAACAGGAAATGGAAATTCCGACGATGATTTTAATTTTGCTGACTTTGCAATGACCGATGATGAAATTGATCAAAGAATGGAAACTAGGGAACAGAGACCAGCACGCATTTTGAGACAAAGCAAAGTGAACATTTTAGAAAACGTCTTAATGAAATCGGTAAATTAGTGTAAACACATACATATTTATTGTTTATATTCCAAAATTATCAATTTCAGGGTAAAGGCACAGAACAACCCCAAAAAAAAACGGAAGTCGAGAAGGATACTTCAGATGCCGAAAACAAGGTAGTTAGATCTGTATATATTATATTATAAACCCATTATTTTTACTCTCTATGTTTACACTTTCCTATTTAATTTCAGGATGCAGTTCTGGATTTGCCGGAGATAAAAAAAATTACACAAGGCTCATTGGAAGAGCAAACAATTGAAACTTCGACGTTTTATAACAAGAAGGTCTCCAGTTGTCTGCGAAAAAGGAAGTTGTGATTTATAAAAGCCGCTTAAAACAAAACTAAAGAACCTATGTTTTCATTTCTTTATTATTTGTATGTATTTCTTATCCACTTTTCTTTATTTCATAAGTATGTAGTTACTTTGTGTTTATTATATTCAATATGAATGCAAACAATTGATTTTTTAATACAATGAACATAAATTACATAAGTTACATAAATTACATCTGGTTTGTAATTTTTGGGTAATTTTACACGTGTAACTTACAATTTCTGAAATTACACGTAATTTCACATCGCTACTCACAAGCAATAGGGCGCGGACTTTCAAACATCAATGACTTTATACAGATATAATTCGCGCAAAATTTGATTATAGGGTAGTTGCGGACAACATAATTCCGCAATTAGTATAGCATTAGTATAGATTTTTCTCGACGTTTCAGTCAAGAAGATTAGATCCACCATTCTATCATCGTATCAGCACTATTCTAAATAACCTAGACATCACTGTACCTCCTATATACACACTTACGAATTCTGATAATCTTCCACCATGGACAATATCTCTCCCAAAGTGCGATATCAGTCTTACATCATTTAAAAAATCTGATACTTTATCACACATCTTTAAAACCAAAAAAAAATCACCATATTCTATGTTAAACTATTTGCCATTCTTAAGGCAATACAATTCGTCAATGAAAATAACATTGTTTATAGCCTAATAATTAGTGATTCATTGTGTTAATTATCCTCATTAAACAAACTTTTTACCAAACACCCTATTTTAAGTTTAATTAAGTTGGAACTCATGACATGCCAAATCAATCATAGAATTGGTCAGTTTTTTTGGACCCCTTGACATTGTGGAATAAAAGGAAATGAAAGAGCCGATAAGGTTGCGAAACAGGCAATTGAGAAACCAGTTTTATTGTCAATGTCTACTTGTGACCACCTTGATGTCAAACAACATTTTAAAAAGAGAATAATGAACAAATGGCAGGAAACATGGGATATCTCAAATTCTAACCTTAGATCCATAAAACAAATTGTCCTACCATGGAGACTACATA